AAACTTGGGACCTTGCACTTGCCAGGCAGGAGCTTATGTGGCTGAGATATCTTCCCAGCCCCAATGCCAATATTTAAAACTCTCAAAGTTCCTAATAAAATAAACAAACAAAACCAATTATTCTTTAGTGAACCTGAAGTCACAAAACAATGAGAAAGAGAAGGGAGTGGGAAGGGAAGCTGCAAATTATTCTTTAGCTTTCTTTCTCTATGACCATGGTCATCTTTGGCATGGTCATCCTGGGCATGACTGATGTCAGTAATCTGGGTAAGCCACATGGTAGACACAGAAGAGGTACTGATGAAGTGTACTGAGAATTTCCTTCATGAATGATCTACCAATAGGATTCATGTCTTAAATCTAAAAAAAGATCATTGATTGTTTCTGTGTGATTTCTATTCTATTGATCAGTAGATTCATAAGTCATTAAGTCATTTGGTGGAAAATATCCACCAACATAACTGTAGGGCAAATGGTCTGGAAGGTGAATGGAACTGGTAGGTCAACTCAATGAGGCCCAGTTCTAGAGTCATATGGTCCTGAGTTTGGTTCCTGATTTCACTGTTTTCTTGATCATAAGTTTCTTAACCACTTTCTTACCTGGGAGGTCAGTGTGCTTGAATTACTGTTTCTGTTAGGCTCAAATGTTCAGGAGAGGAGTTGGCATTGGGTTGAGATTTAATATATGTTAGTTTCCTCAAAGTGAAATGGTCTTCTTCCTTTTACATCTGTTCCTCAGGTGATTATTCTTGGTCTCTCTTTAGAAAAGGAGGAGGAAAAAAATTTTGCTTTTCTCATTCACACCTTTTTTGTTCTTCACACTATCTATAGTCTAATACCTGAGAGAAGAAGAAAATAGTAATCATCACTGAAAATGAATCTGGGACCTTTAAAAATTATCAACCTGTTAGTAAATTGACTGTGAAACTGTGTTTTGCTTTTCTGTGAATATTTTTAGGATGCACTACAGGAACAACAAATGTCAAACAAAAGATGAAAGAAATAAGAAATGTTATAAAAGATGCCAAGACAAGAAAAGGTGGCATATTGCCCCAAAGGCGAGCAGAATGTGATCAAACAGTGTTTTGCATCCGTAAAGGAGTCAAGGCATTTTCTTTCTGTAGAAGAAAGAATTTGCTGCTCACAGGTGGAATGGATCGAATAATTAGAGCCTGGAATCCTTATCTGCCTGGGTAAGTTGTCCTCCTCCCACCAAGAGTGTACTGATGTGTTAAAATACATGAAAGCAGGACTGGTAGGATAACTTAGAATAGCATAGAAACACTCCCTAAAAGTAGTGTCTCATACACACAGCCTGGGAAAGTTCTGTGTGTGGCCATTAAAGACTCATTCTTTGGGCTTAATTACAATTAAAAATTTAAATACTGGGCTGAGAAGATAGCATGGCGGTCTAAGTGCCAGGCAAGTGCAAGGACCTGGCTTTGATCCCCAGTACCACATGCCATGCCTACTCTGAAACCCCAGAAATGCCATGCTGGCCACCAAAACAAAGCATGGTGGTGCACACTTGTAATCTTAGTGCTGGGGAGGCTGAGACACGAGGATCACTACAAGTCTGAGCTGCCTAGAAAGACCCTGTACCAAATGAATAAATAAATAATTTTTAAAAACTTAAATAAAATGTAAATACATTGCAAGGACAAAGAGGTAGCATGGAGGCATTGTTCGCCCCTGTCTCAGTGCGATTTTGTTAACCTCATTACTGTTATCTTAGCAATGAACCTTGATCAGCTACAGAGTGCAAGTAGGGATTTTGCTATAGAATCATTGTATTTTAGTCAACCTTGTTCATATGGCCCCAGCTGTGCACCCAAATCTCCAGCGGGAATGTTCAGCCTCATCAAGGTTAGTAACTCTGCCATCCCTAAATAATAGCAGAATTGGCATAAAAGGGGAAGTGTAGCAGACTTAAGAGGCCAAGGATTGCCCCGTAAAGTCTAGACCTGGTGCTGCAGGTTGCAAACTGCATAACATTAGAGGTTCGTTTCTCTCTTCCCTCAGTGAGTGCTCCTCCTACTCTCTAGTAAGGCGTGAATCTCTCATGACAGGCCCTGCTGAGCAGTGCTCAAGGAGCACTTCCTTAACAACAACAGTAACTACCAGTCTATCGAGCACCTACTTTGTCCCAGGTACTGTGTAATACATATACCATCTCTGATCCTCACATCAAGCCCACTGGAAAATGCAGAAGTAAGAGCTCAGAGAAGTTTAGCCACTTCTTGGAAGTAATGGCAGTCAGGGTTCAAAGGCAGGTTTGTTATTTCCACTAAGAAGTGTTGGAGGTGGAAGGAAAATAAGAAATGAGGTGCTGATGTTCCTGTGTTGACAATGAGGATGCAGGGACAAGTACAAGTCTCATAGGAAAGGCCAAGCTTCCTATCTGGGCTGATCTTCCAAGCATTCCCAGGAGCCCACAAGGTCACCTTGTACCCTCAATAATTATATTCATCAACTGTCTGTGGCCCTGACAAGTGCCTGAGGAAAACAATTTAGAGGGGGAGATGCTCATTTTGGCTCACGGTTTCAGAGGTTTCACAGCCCACTGCCAACCAGCCTACTTACTGTAGGCTAGTGGTGAAGCACACATGTCACATGGCTGGGTGTGGTGCAGCAAAGAAACTCACCTGTGGCTTCCAGCAAGCAGAAAGGGTAAGTGAGCCAGAGCCAAAGAGAAGAGATAAGAACAGAGTACAGTCTCCCAGGTCATGGCCCCTGATCCCCTCCCCTAAACAAGACACTACTCCTAAACTCCATGACCTTCCCATAATGCCATTAAGTTAGGTGGATTTAACCATAATTGAAGTTAGATCCTTTATGATCTGCTTACATTCCAAAAGCCCACCAATAACCAAACCTTCAACTAAATAAGCATTTGCCACCCTAATTATGAGGTTGAATCAAAGATCTGGGAATAGGCTCTTTTTATGTTATATTATGTTATGCTATGTTATGTGACGTTATTTATTTAGAGACAGGGTCTCACTGTGTAGCCCAAGCTGGCCTTGAACTCACAGTGATCCTTTTGCCTCAGCCTCCCAAGTGCTGAGATTATAGGGTACCACCACACCCAAGTTTTTATTTTTTAGTTTGAGACAGTGTTTTAGTAGGTCATTGAGTGGCTGCACTCGAACTTGCAATTCTTCATTCAGCCTTCCAAAGTACTGGGATTACAGGCATGTGCTACCATACCTGGTTCACAATGAACCTTTTGGGGAACATTTTAGATAAAATTCGGACAGTAGTACACTGAGATGGCACAGTGCAGCAGTTAAGCACACTGGACCTGGTTATAACCCTGCCACCATTGAGCCAGGTGACTCTGACCAAGTATTACAACTTCAGTCCTCTCATTTCTAATGGTGATATCAAGGGGACTCGCCTCCTACAGTAATAATGAAAATTGAAAATGAAATAGTCCACATATAAAACTCAGCACAATGCCAGATACATAATAAGAAAGAAAAATCATTTTCCACCCACTAGTGTCATGTTGGACTCCCATTTGTCTAGTAGCTGAGAGCTGCTTACTTATTCAATTGTGAAGACTGCACTCTCTCCCTTCACCTCAACCTTGCCTCTCCCTTCCCTCTTCACCCTCCATGACACCAGACCTAAGATCTTGCAAAGGTACTGTGATCCCTGAGAATTCATTAACTTATATTACAAAGCCCTTCACTGCAGTCTGCATAAGGTGACAGCTTGTCGTGAACCCTATTCCCACCCCCATCCCACCTCCACTCCCTCACATATTCCTTTTAGAATGCTATTGTTAACAGCTGGGGAAAACAGGGTCCAAGGCTTCATCTCACCCCAAATTCTGCTGCGATAACTGGATATTATTTACTTTAGTCCTTTTATGACATAAGATATATACTTGTGTAATTTCAGAGGGAATTCCAAAGGGAAATAATACCATCCTTCAGGCAGACTAGAACTGCCAAATTTGGGCCAAGTTTAGTTTTGCATTTTTATTTAGAAATAGAAGACAGAACTGCTTTGTGTTCATCTTTTCCTTTTTCATTCTAGAAAACCAACAGGTATGCTAAGAAGCCACATGGCCCCAGTGATCTACATCCACATAGCTTCTGAGGATAACAAAATATTTTCCGTGTCCATCGACAGCACCTTTAAGGTCTTTTCCTTCTTATGTTTGATGCTTAAAAACTCTAACATAGTTTTAGACAGAAATATTCCCTTCATATTTGACAGCACTTGGGGCTTCTTGTCTGGGTGGATGTTCACAAGGTATTTACATGTGTGACGTACATGGAAAGGGTGTTGCAGGCAATTCAACACTTAGGGAGATTTCTATGCCTGGTGCTGTGGGTGAGGCTAAGCAGGTCTTCTAGCATTTAAGACCCTGCTTACACACTGTCCAAATGGTCCCTGTCCCAAATACTCCCTGTTGGGAGAGGGTGGAGAAGGGAACGTGAGGCCAGATGAGAACCCCCAGGAAGCAGCAGTCCCTTTCCACCAATGGTTATCTCATCCTTTGTGATACACAAAACAAATGGGGCCTTTCCAAAATCTCACCTGTAGGACTTATAATCTGAACATTTATGACCTTCATAGAGACAGTAATATCACTGTTCCATTTCGTTTGCCTTAACCTCTCTCTTTATACAAAAGGTGCTTTCTATTTCTAAAATTTGGCTATCTTGTGACCTTCACAGCGAACTATTTTTGTACAAAAAGAAATCTCACATACTTTTTTCCTCTATCGTTTCACTTCACTTACTTTTCCAGTGAGTTTGACAAGCTTTCACCTACCTTTTACTTTTACAATCCCCCTTCTCTACTAGACTGTCCTGACGCCTAAGGGAGGGAAGTAGGAGTGAATCAGTGCAGTGTGGGAACCTTAGCAAGCAGACCTGTGTCACTGGTTTGTAATAATCATAAATTTACTCCTGACCATGTGCAGCATAGATGGCCAATTGATAGATACTGTGGGTTGAACTGTGCACCTTGCCTGAATTTTATTTGGTGGCATGCTAACCCTCAGAGCTTAGAATGTGGCTAATTTAGATACAAGGTCTTTAAGGAAGGAAAGAGTTTCATGAAATGAGGTCATTGGGGTGGGCCCTATCCCATATGATTGGAATCTTTGGAAAGCGATTAGGAAAATCACAGAATTAGAAGTGACCATTGTAGCAAGAAGACAGATACCTTGCCTTTCGCAAACCCATGAGAGAGCTTCTTGGGGGTCCTGTTGGCATCTTGATTTGGGGCTTCCTGCCTCTAGAACTGTGGGAAACCCAAGTTCTGCTAGGTAAGTCAACTAACTAAGCCAGTACTGGTTGGCAGCCCTAGGAAACTAAAAGGACACACTGGCTCACTATGTGATCATAGGAGCAGGCCTCATCCATTTATCCGCTCATCCCACTGACTGACTGAGTGCCTACCCTGTGCCAAATCGTGTCTTGGGTATAGGAGATGTAGCAAGTAAAGTACTCAAAAGTTCCTGCTTTCATAAAGGTTATAAACTGAAGCTGGGAGGGAAGCACACAGAAAATAAATAAATAAAATAATAAATACATTAGATGGTGACAAGTGAAATGGCAAACAGGCAGAGAGACCTAGGAAATTTGGTTCCTGTTTTTCTATGCATAGGTTAGGAATGACCACACTAAGGTGACATTTAAGGTAAGGCATGGAAGGAATGAGGTGACACTCTATGTCTACATCTGAAAAAAGAAAAAAAGAATCAGTTCTGTAGGCAGACAAAAAACAAGTGCAAAGGCCATGAGCTGGGAACGAAATAAGAGATAAGGTGGGCATAGATGCAGGACAGCACGGGAGGCGGACTGTGGAGGGCCACCCAGGCCTACGAAGGACCCCTGTTTATTGTCATTTCATTTTGTCTCTTTGGGATGTGAGGCACACAGAAGTGGCATGGTATGGCCTCCATGTCAGCAGGAATTTCCTGCTGCAATGTTACTAGTCAAGCATAGCGGGGACAGAGCTCAAGGACAGAGACCACTTGGGCGGGAAAGGACACTGGTCTGCACAAGGTGGCAGCAAGTGGGCTGGAGACAGTGCTGGGGATGTGGATCCCAGGTCAGCAATCCTCATTCACAACTCCAAACTTCAGAAAGCCCTGATAACTAGACCTCTTTTAGTAAGGTTGAGCCATTTTCATTTGGCAGAGGAGCATAGCCTGAATTGACTCCAGTTTATTTAACAGTCTTTGTCCCACGTGGAATTAATATTCATGTGTTTGGTAATAGAAATGTAAATGTGTCTGAGCAGCCACAGGGCCCATTGTGGTTGGTTATGTATTATGTGACCTTTAAAAATCCAAAACCACCTGAATTCCAAAATGCATGGAAAGTAAAGACAACAGGCTATAATGATATTTCAGAGAAGGCTCTCAAAGTAAGAGAAAAGGGAAAGCTTGACATAATGGAATATATGGGGTGTGTCTAAGGCAGAGCTCAGGTGGAAATTTATAGGGATAAACAAAAAAATCTTTAAATCAACACCGTAACTTTCCACATGAAGATATCTGAAAAAAAAAAAAAAAGACCAAACTAAACCAAGAAAGTCAAGGAAGTAATAAAGATTAGAGTGCTGGAGAGATAGCTCAGGGGTCTAAGCGCCTGCCTGGAAGCGCAAGGACCCAGGTTTGATACCTGGTACTGCAGGTTGGCCCACGGTGCCAGCTGCTGGAACCAGGCAAGGTAGCGCACACCATGTAATTAGAGCACTGGGGAGGCTGAGACAGGAAAATCACTGTGAGTCCAAGCTATACCAAATAAATAAATAAATGAGTAATTTTTTAAAAAAGACTAGAGTAAAAATAAATAAAATAAAGAAAGTCAGAGAACAATAGAGAAAATCAACAGAACCAAAAGTCAGTTCTTTAAAAATGTCAAGAAAATTAACAGACTGATCAGTGGAGGAAAGGACAAGATTTAAATTACTAAAATCAAGAGTGAAAGATGGGACATTACTACTTACCTTATAGAAACAAAAAGGGCTGTAAGGTAATATTAAAAACAGTTTTGGGGCTGGGGAGATAGCTCAGTAGAATAAGCACTTGCCTGGCAAGCACAAAGTCCTGAGTTCAATCCCTAGCACCCCCCCCCCAAAAAAAAGTTTTCATGCCATGAGCCAGGCACGCTAAACACAGTTTACACATTCCTAAAAAGATGAAAACCTATCAAAACTGGCTTAAGAAGAAAAAATTCTGTCTTGGAGGCAACCTATACATCCATCAACAGACGAATGGCTAAAGACAATGTGATGCGTATAATGGCATACTATGCTGCCATAAAAAGGATAAAGCCTGAGCTCTTTGTAGGACAATCAGTGCATCTTGAGAGGACAGTGTTAAACGAGATAAATCAGAAACAGTTTTAAGTATCACATGACTTCTCTTATATTAGAAACCTAATGTGTAAATAGAGTAAAAAATAAATGATAGCCAGTAAAGAAAAAAGACAGGAAAAGAATTATCGTAATCTAGCACAGTCAGTGCATTTAAAAGTATACCTAGAATTAGTACAATTGTCTTAGGAGTTTTATATGGTTTTTTGCCCATTATTCTGGCTACTAATCTGTGTTTATAATAATTAACTTATAAAGACTTATAAAATTAATCAATTAATCTGATGCTGACAAAAACTTTTTTAAGAAACAAGCCTGGAAGGGAAAGAGAACAAAAGAATCAAAATGTGTTACATACATGTAACAGAATGAATGTAATTATTTTGCACTGCAAACATGTCCTAATAAAAATTGTTAAAACTTCCAAAAATAATTTTTAAAAGAAAAATTCTGAATAGGCCTATAAACAAGTAGAGACTGAGTTACTAATGAATCAAGTTGCTAGGTGTGATGGGAAGCTGAGGCAGGAGTATCGTAAGTTAGAGACCAGCATGAGTCACTCACTGATTTAGTGAAAGTCTGTCTCAAAATTTAAAAAATGTACAAATAACCCAGTGCAAAGATCCTGGGCTTAATTCCCCATGCTGAAGACAAAAAAAGTCTCACAAAGAAAATGGAGGTCAGACATCATAGCTGATGGATTTTATTAAACACTTAAAAGAAGAACTAACAGGAACCCTTCACAAACTTTGGTGGGGATGACCATTCCAGATTCATTCTATGAGCCCAGTTCCCTGGTGCCAAATACAGATAAGGACATTTCAATAAAAGAAACTCTAAGCTAATGTTTCATGAATATAAATGTAAAATACTAACAAACTGAACCCAGCAACATTTAACAAGAATTCTGTCATATGACCTCGTAGAATTTAGCCCAGGAATGGAAGGTGGTTCAACATGGAAATCAACGCAGTAAACCATACTAACAGAATAAAAGATTCAAAAAATAGGATTATTTCAATAGATACAGAAATTAAAACAAAAAATTATACTCTGTGAAATAGAAAACATCGTTGAAATTACAAAGAAGTCATAAATAAATGGAAAGATAGCCTGTTCTGGTGGTTTGGAGTATTTAATGTTAGGACGCCACTGCTTTGTAAATTGGCCTACAGATTCAATACACTCTCTGTGGAAACCTCGTTTGCCTCTGTCGGCAAAACTTGAAAACTTGATAGAGAGATTCCAGTAGGAATGCAAGGGACCCAGGACAGCTAAAACAATCTTGTGAAAGAAGAATAAAATTGAAGGAGCCATACTTTCCAATTTCACAACTTACTACAAAACTGCTGTAAATAATAGTATGATAATGGCATACAGTCAGATATATTGTGCTATAGAAGATTAAGAAATAGGTGAGAATCAAGAAATAAACCCTCACATTTATAGACATTTAACTTTTCACAAGAAAGTAATACTGTTCTATGGGGGGAAGAATAATATCTTCAATAAATTCTGCTGGATTATCTGACTACTCACATAAGAAACAAGGAACCTGGACCACTACCTCACACCATCTACAAGGAATTAACTCAAGTGGATTATAAACAAAGTGTAAGTCCTAAACTATAAGATTCTTAGAAGTTTTGTAGGAATAAAAACCTCTGCTTAACCAATGGTTCTAGGTATGACACTCAAAGCATAAGAAACAAATAAATAAAATACATAAGTTAGGCTTCATCAAAACTAGAAACTTATGTTCTTTAGAGGATAACATTAATAAAATAAATGGAGAGCCTACAT